TAATTTTATTAATATGCGAAGTTTTTAGCATATTCATTAATAAATAAAGTTTTCTATTGAAATTCCATAATTCATTTTTGTTTTTATTTTTGTTTGTTTTTGTCTTGGAAAATATTTTTCTTAGGTTAACATATAAGAAATATTAAAATAAAAAATAATTTATTTAAAGGTACACCATATGTTCGCGTTAATCCTGAAAGAATAAAAGGAATTGTTCTAACTAACAAATTTGATTCATCCCCAGGTAATTAATTAATTAATTTATTTATTTATTTATTATTTAAATAATAATTATATAATTAAGGTTTTAAAAAACCTGATGATGCAAGTTTTAAAATAGCAAGTCATATTCTTGATTTTGTTCTTCATGAAGTTGAATATGGAAGTAAGTTTATTAAAAAATGTTTTTTTTTTTTTAAATAAATAAAAATACTAAAAAGGAATTCCAAAAAAATTACTTCCATTTCAATCGGGTGTTGGAAATGTTGCTAATGCTGTTTTGGCTTGTATAGGTAAAATAAATAAATATATTTTAATTAAAAATAAATTTTATTTATTTATAGCTCAAGATAATCGGTTTAAATTAATTGAAATGTATACAGAAGTAATACAAGATTCAATATTTGATTTACTTGATAGTGATAAACTTCGTTTTGCATCAACAACAGCATTAACTTTTTCATCAGAAGGACAAAAAAGATTTTTTAATCAATTAATGGATCTTAAATCAAAATTTATTTTACGTCCTATGGAAATATCAAATAATCCGGAAGTTATACGTAGAATTGGTCTTATTACAATGAATACAGCATTAGAAGCTGATATTTATGGAAATGTTAATTCAACACATGTTCTTGGATCTGCAATGATGAATGGAGTTGGTGGAAGTGGAGATTTTACTAGAAATGCTGTAAGAATTATCTTCTTTATTTTTCTCTTTTTAATTGAAATTTATTTCAAATAATCTTTTTTTTTTATTTTTAAAATTAGTATGTATCAATGTTTATGGCTCCATCAATTGCTAAAGGTGGAAAAATCTCAGCATTTGTTCCAATGGTATCACATGTTGATCATAATGAACATTCCGTTCAAATAATGGTTAGTGAACAAGGTTTAGCTGATTTACGTGCTAAAACTCCAAAACAACGAGCTAAATTAATAATTGATAAATGTGCTCATCCAATGTATAAAGATCTCTTAAAAGAATATTTTCAACATGCAGAACGTGTTACATTTGGTCACCATACACCACATGATCTCAAGCAAGCTCTTTCATGGCATATTAGATTACAAGAAACTGGTTCAATGCATCCCGATCATCAAACAACAAGTAAAGATACTGAACAAGCAGCACGTAAAATCGATCAAACAGCGGCAACGAAAAAATAATAACTTATTTACTTTATTCTAGTCAATTATAATTGTAGTGTTGTTTTAGACGTATTATTATAATATAGATTTTATTTTTTCTTCATTTTTACGTAAAAAATAACAACCCTCAATAAGCTGTCAATTGTATACGCTCAACTTCATTTTAATAAATATAATTTGATTAATTCAGCATTTAATTTTCTTCGTTTTTTTATTTAATAATTATTAAAATATTTAAAATATTCTATTAGACATGTATTTATAGAGGAGAGGATATCACAAAATAATAGGAATTTGATATACATTCGAACAATAATATTTATTTCATTGTGCCTCACTAATAATATTGAACTGTTGATTATTTTCAAGAACAATCAATTTTATTTTCGATAAAATAACTTGAAATGAACATCATTCGATATCGACGCGCAATTTGTTTATCATCAGTGAATGTATCAGATCTATTTTTTGAATTTATCTATCTATATTTTCTCTGTTCCTATGTTATTAAAAATAATAAATGATTGATGAGATCATATGTTCACTTATGACAACGAGATAGCGATTTTGTATCGACTGGTATTCATTTCAAGTTATTTTATCCCAAATAAAACTGATTATCATTGAAAATTTAATAAAAAATGAAAAAGTTTAATACTCTAATTTTTCTTAGACCTAAACAAAATTAATTAAGATATTGATATTCAAGATATTTATTGAGCTTTCTAATATAGAGAATGATTTTTAACTCATTCTTATGGTAACACTCAAATATGTTCCTTCGTCAGTATATGAGGGTACAAATTTTGAAATTCTTAGTTTTGTTTTTTGAGCTAGTACATAACAGTACATGACAGCATATAAAAGTTCTGGATTTCAAAAAATTGTGAAATGCTAAGTTTGTGAAAACCGTTTTATTTCGAGAGTACAATTTGTGCTTGTATTTGCAGAGGCTTCTTTTCTGTTTGTTATTAGTTTATTTGAAATTTTAGTTTTTCAATTGTTCATATCAATTTCTAATTGTTCTTCAAGAAGAATATTGCGATTATTGATGAATATGAATAAATTCAATAATTAATATATTGGAATCAATTGATATATATTTCAATTTGTTCAATTTCGTTACAACCCAACATCAAATATTCCTGTTGGGGGATTATGAATTTCACATCTTCAAGTAATAAGATCCTTTAATGGAATTCATTGATCGACCATCAGTTATTGACGATATTGAGTAGATCTATTATATTTTTAAAAATTGCTTAATATACTTTAAGACTTTTGTAAAATCGAATGAATTTCTTAAGATTTTAGTGGACTATGATGAATTAGTCCATAAATACTTAGAATACAACAAAATCCGTCTTGATTTTCTATTAAAAAATTTCTTTTTTTAAAGCAAAACTTGTAAAAGATTATGTTAAAAATTGATTTGAAGTAAAGATTCTTTATGAAGGTGTTTTTTTAATCTACGTACGATAATGAATAAGTATGAAAAAGACTATTAAATAATATAAAATAATTGAAAAAACATTGAGATTCCCCCCCGAAAAAAAAAAAACTTTATTTATTTAAAAAGATTAATATAGAAACAAAAAAAATATTCGTTTTAAATAGCAATCATTAACATAATATTGATCTATATTTATCAAAAATATAAATTTATCATTAACTAAATATATATATATTTTTCTATATTATGTTAATAAGAAGCTTCTAAAATCAACCTTAAACAGTCGAAAATTGGATAAATTATTTCTTGTTTTTCAAATAAAGTCAAATTGTCTTATATGCAAAAACAATCTTTTTATTTTGATATTATGAAATAAATTTATTTCAAGCTACATTGTCTTTCATTATTTTTATTTTTTTCATAAGAAATAGTCGAAAAAAGTGAAGAAGAAATTTATTTGTGTTAAAAAATAAAACGCATAATATAAGTATAATAAATTGAATCTATCACCAATTCTATAAAGTATTTCGAACGACAATTCAACACATAATTGTTTTTGCATTTTTTTTAAGGAAAAAAATAGATTAAAATTCCAATAAATAATAAATTCATTCGATTTGGTTAAAGATTTATTCTGTACCACATAGAAGTCTGATATAAAAGTATTTGAAAATACTTTTCGAATTAAAGTACATTCATTTTCCGGTAAAATCGTTGATGTTTTTCTTTTTAAATAAATCATTAAAATATTTTAATAATACTCAAGTATGGACTTTTTTTTTCCCCGTTCTATAGTTAAAATATTTGATTGTTATGCATCAATCGTATTCTTGATTATTCAACTGAGTATCAAGACAATAAGACTTAATCAATATGTTGATTTTTATATAATCTCATTAATTATTTTGAAGAAAATGATCGATGAATTGTATTATTATGTTTATATAATATCAGTTATTTTAACAAATTTTGAAGTAGTTTCAAGTAAATGAAAGTACTTTTAAATAGTTGAGAGTAATTATCAATAAGCAAAAATATATCTTTAAATGATTGAAGGCAATTTTTATGTGATTAAAATCAAATTGAACTAATAAAATACGATATGTTTTTTTTTCTTTTGAATAATGCTTTCATTGAGAAATAGTTTTATCGATTTTTATTTTATCTAATGATTAATATTAATATAAAATGATTTAGCTTTAACTATTGGTTTATAAAAAGAAATATTTATGTTCATATAAACTTTTTCTTATTGTTATATATGAAAAATTTTATTAAATAATAAGAATATAACATATATATCTATGGTCATTTTCACTTTTGTCTTTTTTTAGAAAAAAATAACTAAAATGAGTATTAAAATAGAAAATGAAATATTTTAATTTTAATTTTGATCATTACAAATATTTTTCTAAGATATAAAATTACAGTTGATGATTGCATTTATATGAAATATTTTCAAAGGAAAATTTATATATTTACAGAGAAATGAACAATCTCAAAAATAATATTTATTGAATATATACATCGTTTAAAATAGATATTTAGTTTTTTTTTATTGGTTTTTAATTCTTAAGAAAAATGTTTAAAAAGTTTTTTCTTTTCGATGATTCCATAACAATTAAATAATATTAATAATTTATAGTAAAAGTTAACGTTCAAAATAATAATATGATAAAAATATACTTTTATATTTTGATAAAATATCATACAAAATAAGTCATTAGAAACTTTGCAAAAAATAAATTTTTTCCGAAAGAATTTCATATGAGAATCAATCAATGTGAACAGTTTGTCAATTTTTTAGTAATATTCTATGATCTAATGAGTATTTTAGGTAGAGTACTTCAAAAGTTCTTTCGTTTGTCTATTCTTAAAATCATAAATTGAATGCAACTATTCCGTCATTGTTTCAGTCTTCCAAGTCTCGACCTTTTTTGTATTCTTAGATTACTTTCAACCTATTGTTACACTAGTTTTCGGATGCATATTTCAAATTTTCATCGCAACATTGTTCAACAATAATTTTATATCATTAGTAACTTTGGCTAACTGAGGAGAAAAATTCGTGTGCGTTTCGTATGAGTATAGTGAGACTTGATACATTCAGGTCCTGCACCAACTAATTTTTTTCATCAATATCAACTAACTAATTTCAGAAATGAAGTTGTGCCCGCATTCAAGTCGACTTCAACTGTTCTAGTCGAGCAAACATTTAAATGCTGTTTCAGCAACGATTGACGATTTTTCTCATTGAACATACGAATGAATAGAGAATACTTTGACCATAATTTCGTCAATGTTTATTTCAATTATTCTTGTGTATGTGAAGTTCGGCAGAGTTTTGTGCTCTATGAGTGTATTTTCAGCTGACTGATGACTGAAAACAGTTCGATATTTAATCGGCTTATTATTTTCTGAATGAATTTTGATAGACCCATGTTTATCTTTTATTCTACAGTATTAATAATAATAGGTGACCATTTTATCATAATGATTCAAATGGAATCGACCAGTCAAAAACTCATTCACAAACTAACAGAAATTATCGAAACAAAAGACCAGATAGACAAATCATGTTTAAATTCCTTCACAAAATCTAATTACCCTAAGATTATGTCAATAAAATCTATTAAACGGAAGTCTGGTTGATAATAGCTGCCTAATGTACGTTTTCTAACTGACTCAGCTGATTAATAGAAGACCGGTCATTTAACTTTCAATTTTCACTATGAAAATGCAAAACCACAAAAAAGGTTTCATATCACCGAAGTTTTCGCAGAATATCACATAAAACCATATCCAAATCAAGCATCTTCTATAGATCGAATATCGTGCGACAATTTCCTCTTTTCAAAACTCAAATATCAACGGTTTTCAAATTGAATCCAACTACAGCAAAATAATGTTACATGTGTACACTGCTGGCCATAAGCCCCGATCCCCCTTGAACTGCAGTCTTTATAAGAGCTCAACAGTTGAAATTTTGTGTGTATATACTCTATGACGAACGCTGATCATCAGCACTACTCGCGTCAAAATTGCTCAAGCCAGAACATAGCTATAATAGGTGGTAGTTATGCTCCTTGTAAAAT